AATGTCATGCATCAACAAAGGTCGTTAATTATGGATCCAACTAGCTGTATATACCGATATGTTTCACTCGCCCTCGGTCTCCGTTTTCGCCTGGTCCTGTTGTTTGCAGAATATACGTTTTGTCCCTGAAGGACCGACTTTTTACAATGCTGACTCCACGCTGCCACGTGACCACCAGCATTCACACACGGTTTTGGGATACACAACCAGGTCTGTTGTACCTTCGCGGTCTCGAACCGGCGACATGTGGATTGCCAACCGTACACTAGAACCATTCGGCCGGCAGGCTATATGGCACCAACTCTCAATCCTTTAGTTCTTACAATTATTTGATGACATTGAGATCGAAATCTTGCACCGGGTACAGCTGGCGTTTTGGGTGTGGAGTGGTATTCATTCTCGTCAGTCGAATCGATGGTGAAATAATCGGAAATTATTCGTTTTGTTTGTGTCCGTGAGAGTAAAATCTCCTAGGATATCTCATTATTACAATAGGAGAACGATTTGAGCCAGTTGCATACGACTTAAACATTAAGACGTTTCAGGAATGTTCTGCACAATATACTTCGCATCTACACGATGAACGTACCTACCTGTTGGCCAGCGGAACTGAGCTACCAATCAGGGCTGCTGACCTTAGCTGTTCTGAAACGCGAACATTCTTGAGTTGACCTATGAATATCCGCTGGTTTTTGCACGACAGCTCTTTCTACAACATACTTTTGCCTCCAAGCGTTGGCTGGGATTTAGAGCTAGCACAGGACGAGTCCAGTTCAAACCAATCATAAATAGAGATCCAACAGTATGCTGTTTTAGTGATGCTCCTTTTGTTTTTTCTTTGACTTAGAGATTTTCTACGTTTGTGCACACATGTGCACCTTTTTATGTGATCCCAGATGTGTTTTTCCTCATCCCTTCAATTATCTGTACCCCACAGGGCGATTGCGACATTCCCGGATGCTTCCGTCTTATAGTCCACGGAGGTGGACATAAACTTGGTCGTGGTGTAGTGGTACTAGGGCCATGTAGCAGTCTGCTCACTTCCGCTGCTCGGGACACCGATTCCCATGTCACAACAGAAACACCTTCATCAGCTGATGATCTACGCCAGAAGGCGAACCAATACGGGTTGCTGACTCGTCTTGAACAGGGGCTCGCTTGCCGACCGTGTTATTTGCGCATGAACTGTGATGAGCCGCAAACTCTTGTAAGTGTTACTCCATTTATCTGCTTTCTTTTGTGACATGTTGCATCGCGGTCCTTCGCTCTGAGTACATCGATTCCATAACCGTTGCGCTGTTGTCATACACTAGCACTGTACCTCCGACTGGCCAACAGCAGTTTAACAGTGAGTATCCTCCTCGTATCTGTCTGAATGCCACGTTGCATCTTCGTTTGATTATATCTGGCTCCTTTGTACACGTTGTTTCCCTACACAAGTGTACCGGGGTGTTCAACGCTCCGGAGGGCTTACGATTCTGTCTCATTTCTTTCTTGGCTCACGCATGGTCATGCATTTCCCTATTCTCCAGATTGGTATTCTCTGTTTACGTGTACCACAGGTCGCGTCGCGGTCTACAGCGAATTGTCGGACACATTTCCGACAAGCATTGTCGTTGACCAGAGTTGTCTCCTTTGCCCATTCCTATCCATTCGTGATGTTGAGTTCACCATGGAATCCCACCATTCAAGCATTGTGAAATGATTTCAAAGGAACCTTGGGTGGTTTGATTTATGCGGACAACATCGTATTGTTGTTTGGCCATCTTGGGACGACAGTCAACCCTGTGAATTGGTCCCAAGATTTCAACGTATCGAGTTTCGCAACTCCAGTGTGCAGAGTGTTGTTAATGAACGACTAGCTACGTGATCACCTTTTTTCTTCACGACGGTCTATTGGTGGCTACATCAGCACTGACAGATGCGTGACTACTTATTGCAAAAGTTAGAACCACAATTGCGAATCCACTACATCTGTGACATCAGGAAGAGATTTCCCTCGGTCTGTGAGGCCGCTTATTCAGGGCCGCAAGGAAATCCGTCGTCCTGTTTTGTAGTGGGACTTGCCCCTTTCAGCTTGCGGTCCCGAGACACTGTCGATTTACATCGATCCTACTTGTCTGCTTAGTGTTGCCGATGTTGGGTGACATCGGCGTGTCCACACCCATGGTATGCGCAGGCTCCTTATAACAACAACCAGAATTAAGCGAGTTGCGTTGATTTGGTCACGTGTCTCTTTCATATACTCACTGCCTGTATCGGGCCTTGTCTTGTTTGACTCAGGATTCTACTTGAACACAGTTAATTTGGTAGCCGGAACTAAGGTTGTTCATTTTACCCTCCAAACTGCGGATCACGCGACCCACTTTGTGTTTACCAGACAATAATTGTAGCTGGCACTTTGGGCGCGTTTAGTGTAGTCTCCGAGTCTGAGTACCTGCCTATACTTTTTCTGATTGTTAGTTCTCTATGTTAAAACAGCTTATGACACGGGACAGTGAAGGCGCAAGGAAGCTGTCTCGCCAATGCCACCTTATCCGCACAATAGCCAGCTGTTTGTCGTTGTAGGTTGTTGGTAGTGTGTTAACTCCTTGACGCTGGGTGTTTTCTTAGAGTATTGGGATCTGGCTCCCTCACTCGTAATGCTCCTCAATCTTTTGGCCATCACGGTCGGATGACAGCTAGACACAGTTTCAACTTATCGATCTACTGCAATCTTTGTCGTTGCTAGGGATGACAATGCAGCTTACAGTCTTTGGTTCATGACTTGACGGTCCATGGGTGACTGCGGTATATCACCCTTCATTAGGATGCACGTTATTGGTATTATTAGTCGATACTGATAGTTGTATAGGTCTGGTGTCCCCATGCTGAGGCTGATGTTGCATTCATGATGCTTCTTCACCGCAGTTGGGCTAAACCAACTTACACTTAAACTAGGTCTTTTTAATGTGGATAGAATTTGTTGCATTTTATTTGGTTTGTTCTGCGTACTTGATAATCTTCTCCCGACTTGCACACGTCGCTAATGCAAATTGTGGTAAACTTGCGTATTTGTATCGCGTGGCATATTTTAAATAACTCGGACATTTTGTACTTATCACGGATTCACTTATAACCAATTTCTTCGATATCGGCATTTTGAGTGATTGGCTGTTGTTTGACATCCCAGGTGTGGCTGCGCTTGATGTGCATATTGACAAGGTGCCTACCTGTCTATCACCTACTACTCCGTCCATCTGGCTCCAGGAGACAGTTGGTCGTTACTGGAGGGGAGGGAGTGCACGGTCCTTGTCGTCGTGCTAGGCTCGAAGAGTGGTTCCATGCACTTAATGTGGAGCGGACTGCGGTCCAGCCACTGCCTTTTGTGCGCTTGATTCCCAACTACAGCGTACTTGTGTTTGTCTGTGAAGGAGTGTGGGCCGGTTCCGTTGATAGAACGTGGATCCCATCCATATGCCTCCCGATTTTATTCCTTCGGGTTTACACTGGATATGGGGTGTGTGGTTGGAGCTGTTGGCGGTGCAGCGCAAGCCATCCGTGGTCCCTCTGTAGGCGCAGGCGTCCTGTGGCTGGCCACAGTGACAGGCAAATCCGAAACCGGATGTCGCCAACCATGGGTCTGGTGTGTTTTCGGTAGCTCCCTTGCGTGTAAACCCGCTCGAGTCAGCCGGGTGGTCTGCACGCTGGGCTTGCAATCAGAAAGTCTCCGGTTCGAATCCGCGCAGGGGTGGGCGTCCTCGCGGTGTACTCAGCCCGTGCGCGACTGGTGGTAGTCGCGCGGCAGCGAAGCGCCAATACAGCGTACAGCTGACACATTTAAACCTACTCGAACATCCACCACACATGCACAGCTAGGATTCTTCTTAACGATGTGTATCGCTGTAGAATATAGATAGAATGAGTGTTCATCACGTCACTTTGTCTTCGGCATTCACTTTGACACACATCCAGCTTGTAACTTTCATTGGGGAAAAAGCATTACTGGCGATTGGCGGAGGGATGGAAGGTTGCGCAATCTCTCCAGTGTTTGTTGGTTTCCTAATTGGGCTCAATTGTGACGAATCTCCACACTCCTTCTGCCAAACAACCTTATCATATCCCACTAGCTTGCAATGCTTGTAATGGGGTGATTAGCAGGTATATGCGAAAATCCGCTGCTCGAAGGACCAGTCATGTTTTGTGCGCAGCATTGACTGCGTTATTTCTCCCGAAAGGCACGGGACCATCGGGAGTTCTGTATCTAAATCAATCTCATAATTTTTCTTTTTTCTGGTGTATTTTCTGGCTTTACGCATTATTGTGGCCTGACCTAGAGTGTGTAGGTTCGAAGCTGCTACCCAAGACGTCGTTTCCCGGTATGATTATCTTCCAGTTGACTTTGTTTGCTTCACTGTTGTTTTAAAACTAGCCTGCACGATGGATTGAACTCCGACTTTACTGTCCTTATTAGCTGACTATAACGCAGATATGTAGCGTTCCATCGGCGAACAATCAAATGGAAACAGAAATGCTATTCTGCTCGGATATCCCACTGCCTATGGAGCCCGGATTCTGTCTACCCGTTCCACGTTCCTCATGGGTGCATCTGGATGAGCCCCCGCATTCGAATCGATCGTCGGTGGCGGTTCGCCTACGGGCTCGCGTGTTAGAAGTATACCCGAACTCCGTGGATGACCTCCAAAACTGCACCGTCTTAGCTTGTCAGCGATGTCGCACAGCCACTCGTCTGAGCTCAATCCTGGATGGAAATGAGTAAGCTTGCCTTCCTCATGCAGTGTATGTTGACTTTTGCGTGCATGTCTGCTGCCAAATTCCCCATCGAGTGTGGTCTTTTCGCGGAGCAACTTAGTGTTTGTCTCGTATTTCCTCCTAATTTATTACGGGCTTACTGTGTGGCATCCAGTTTGGTTTTATTCATGGCGTTATGGTAGCTTTTCCAAATCCATACCAATTTATTACAAAGCCATCTGGCTTCCTAAGGATCAACCCCACCAAAACTCCCAGATACCTGTAACCTTGCTAGATAATCTTGTTTAGCAGAACGACCACAGAGACACGGTACCATTAGTGTTGCACACGTCTACTTTCTATTGGCTCTCCATAGCAGCGAGCGTGAGTGTCTGTCTATCGCTCATTCACTTATTGGTTGAAATGACGCAAAATGCATGATCGATGTGTTGTCCGGAAGGGCCTTTACAATGCAGTTTGCGTTCTGACTGCGTGGCACACTTTCACTTTGTGCTATTTCGGTTGCGCGCTCTGGTTTTATCGCGAGCGTTAGCTCTACACGTACTGAACGGTAACAGTGGCACTGGAAACTTGGGAAATTTTGCCACCGAACTCAGCCTTTTTAGACTCATAAAATTCTCAATTCTTTTTTCTCACTTACGTCTTAGTTACTGCATCAAGTTATGCTATTCGATATTCAGTTCCTAGCTGTCGTTTGTCAGGAAGTATCGATTTAATTAAATTTTTTATACCGGTACTTTACTAGCAAAATTCCTTTTCCCAATGAGACGTTCATCTCTCATCTTAATTCTTGCCCTGATTCTGGTAACGGGCACACATTATATCCTTACTGATACATTCATCACATCTAGACTCAGGCAGACAGTCATCACATGCCTGGAGAAGCACGGTACGGTTTTTCACCCTTTCAAGGGTTACTCTGTCCTCTGCACGGTAGTAACGTGCAGGTCACTGGATAGTGCGTGGCACTGCATCACATCTATTTACTTAGTCACGATAGTCGTTACCGTCCTTCGTAGCCGAGTGGTCTTAACCACGGATGGGTAACAATCTGGTTTCAGGTTCGAGCCTCGCAATCGTCAGATTGAATGCGGGCTGCTGACGATTCCCAAAAAGATAAAACAGATGTACCGTTCTTTTCCGAGCGTGTGCTGCCTGTCTGGCTGAGTCTAGCTGCGATGAATTCCTTTCTATACTATTCGTACCTCCTATTACTCCATGGCGGAACAAATACATTGTTGATCTTTGAGAATATATACCAGCGAATAGCTTTCCCTAGGTGTCGCTACTGAGCCAGCGCAGTAAAAACTTGGTACCACGCAGTGAATATCAAGCGATTAGAATGTAGTTGTGTATTGCTTATGTCCGACCCATCGCTACTTGACAGTTGCATGGTAGCGCGTGAGGAAACAATAAGTCATGTGCAAAATGCCTCTCTCTTCAACGAAGGGACAGGCAACTCGACACGCAGATCGACCGATGACTATGGCAGTTACTCCATCACGTGAGTGTTCAAGCTATCTCGAGTCACATAGAAAATTGGCTAGAGTCCTGATCTTCGTCATCACCATACTCAACTCCACTCTCCACTCGCTTGTAGCAGCCTGCATGTTTCGCCGTCTATGTCACCTATATCTTTTACTCCTTCCGTCACTTATTTGTTTCCGATCAGAGACCCGTGCGAGTGTAACACATCCCCGCTACATGCGAACGGAACCGAGCATCCGTCGAAGCGGGTCCTTTGCCCGTTTGTTTTGTTGAAGCTGGAAGACCCAACTGGACAGTTGGTCGTGTGTGCTCCGGCCACGTCCGGTGTGGCTCTGCTGACCCGATCAACAGACCAAGCCACCCAAAACGCACAATGGGACCAGGTAGCCAATGAGTTGTTTGGATCCCACGCCACCGATGAGCGTGCTGTCGCCAAAAATCTCCTGCGCCAGTTGTCAAATCTACTTACTCGGTCTGTGGAGTTGGTTTTGCGTGTGAGTTGGCTATCCAGCTGGGAACTCGGTGAACCAATTCTGATAGGTCAGCTGGATTTGAAATTTGAACTCCTGAACGAACAACCACTCACTTGGTCGACTTGTAATGATTAATACGGACTTGCATTTATGTACAGCTCTAACGTTCCCTTTTCTATGCTTTCTTGTAAATAATAGCCATCTTGAAATTGTGAGACCGTTTTTCTCAAAACTTAGTAGGGAGGTTGGGTTTATTTTATTTTCTATAACATTGACGAGCATAGACCTTAACATGCTGCGACGGTTTGCGTACCTCGCCGACCCATTGAGCTATACTGACTGGGACCGTCGGTCACTTGTGAACTACTCCTACCAGGTTGCACAGTTGTTAGAGGTCAGAAAAACTCAGTCTCCTGGTCCTCCAAGTTGGGGATTTGAGATAGGATGGCGTCCATTTTTATACAACCGAATCGTTGCCAAATGCACTGCCTTGCGGACGTGCTTTTGAACCAGACTTTGCTTGAGGACACTACCCGTTCTTCTGCCTAGGTCTGGACGCCCGGGCAATATCTCAGACCACATACAACCATTACTACTTCAAACTTCAATCACACCCTGCAGATTCTCAACGGTCGCCTTATCTGCTACATACAGCAGGGCGGATAAGCGAAAACATTCTGCTACTGGAGCCTCCCTTCTTTTCCACCTGTTTCTCTTGCTCTCATCCCAGTCTCCATTATTAACCCACCTTTTATAGTTCCCAGCTTAAGTGACAGCAGCCGTAATGTCACTGGAGTCGAACCATCTGAGGCTATCCGCAACAGTCCCTTATGACAACACGATGTCCCGTTTCCCTGGCGGCGTTCAACGTTCGCACACTAAGACAGATAGGTCAGCGGGTTGCGCGCGCATGCAAATTGGACACCTTGGGTATTGACATGTGTTGCGGGTCGGGAACTGGGATCAATGATCCCTACGGGGTTATTAAATAAATAAATTTGTATATTTACCGACGGACAGTACACGGCCCCATAAGTGGGAGCGATCAGCGCCCGACTTGTCCTCTCGCTATTGGTTTTACTATCCCAAGACGCCGATGCGGCAATCACTGGTCAAGCCGGGGTTGGTATGGTTCTCAGCTACAACGCTGAGTCATTGTTGGTTGCTTGGATTCCGGGGAACAGCCGTTTGTGTGCAGCTCGTTTGACATAACCTAAAGTTGATTCACGAAGGAGTACAAGGCGCTGTTTGTTATTGGTTTCTACTTATACTTCCACCGACTGCAGTTCTGATGCTGCACACGGCACTCTCTACCACACTGCTACGCAGTGCCCCCAGTTCAGTTTTTATAACACTTGCAGGGGATATGAATGCGCAAGTAGGTCGTCTGGACTTTTCAGAAGCTCAGCTATGTGGTAACTATGGGAGTAACTCCGAACTGACAGACAACCTCGAGCGTCTGTTGCAACTGGTTGCGGAGCACCAGTTGTTTCTTAGTAACACTGCTTTCAGACACAGTGGGCACCGAAGTGCCATTTGGCCTCATCCCGTAGTTAGGCAGCAATGGACCCACAAGTTACAGATGGTGTGGTTCCATCCTGGATTGCTGCTCGTTCTGGAGTATTTGCGTCGAATCTGATCATGCTTCGGTACGCTGCCATTTTTCCATGAGCTTTATTAGGAAGCATACCAAACGCCTTCCATTGGCAAGTGAGAAGTTATCTCTGTTCTCGGTGTAGCAAACCTACCGGATGCCTTGCATTCCAAACTTTCACTCTTGTTTCCTAATGACATTGAGGTTCAGTGGAAGAGGATCTCGGCCGCTATCGCGACGTAGGAGCCTCTCATTGAGGTACTATCAATCGTCACCGCACCAATCACTGGACATCCGAGTCGATGGATGAATCTATTGGAATCCAGAAGAAACTCCCGGCTAGATCCGAGCACAAAGTAACCAGGGAAACTATTAGGCGCGGACTATTGTGGAGCCTGCGTCCTGATAAGGAAGCCTTGTGAACACTACTGGCGTTCAATAAATGTAGGATGTGAGGGCAGTATTGCAATTTGTTTCAACTGACCACAGGAAACCATCATTACCAGTACACGTTAACTGATGGTGAGAAACACACTTCAGCTAATGTGCCGCAATACAAAAGAGTAGCAAAAAAATCAAAACGCAAAAAATATAATGGTAAATCTCATCGTACTCATTTGTTATGAGATTGTGATGTGAAGGGGATGGACAAAGAAACTCTTAACACAAACGTCACTGGGTTCGGCTCTTCGCAATATCAGCAAGTGTGTCCAATCAAACGTGTTCATCGTCGTTTGGGCCCCAACCCGGCATTCGGG